TCCTACTCACGCTCTTTCCAAATGACAACTTAATCTTCATTATATATTGTAAACTATTTATTAGGTACTGACTCTGTGCCGGACACTGTATTAGGACATAGAGTGTGAATCTAAGGGGAAAGCCTTTATTCAAAAGAAAAACTAAAACTAAAACTAAAAATAAAAACAAAAAAATGTTAAACTTATATAAAAATATAAATAATCCCCAAAAGCCACAATGAAGAATCCTAACAATGATTTGCTGCTTTCATAATTTTATTCCTATGCCCTTTACTAGGAATGTCCTCTTATCCTCACTTGTACAAATTCTTATCATCCTTGGAATTACAGTAGAAATTCCATCCTATCCACAATCCTACTGTTGACTATACCTAATGATATATTTTGTCCTAAATAATTAGTTCTTAAAACTCTAGTGTTTTATGATATTATGATAATAAAAACTATATTCTATATATATATTATATAATAGAATTATATATAATAGAATATATATATTCTATATTTAATATAATTTTATGGTTATGTGCATGTAGATTAAAGGAACACTTATACAGACATATCTCAGGGAGTCAAGTGAATCAGGAGGTCCATATTGGAAAGCCCAGAGTTTTCTTTCCTTATTCTTACCAAATTCCCCAGGGGATGTTTTTCGTTCAGGATTATAATGTTTTGTTTTTTTTTAATAAAGAGTAAATTTAGATAAATCTACTACTGATTGATTATCTGAGGTTAGGTTTTTTTCCCCAATTCTCAGAAAAATAGTGAAGAGGATGAAAAGGGATGAAATATAAAATAAATACATATTGTAAGATGCCTAAAAACATACAGATATGCCAATAGATACATGAAAAAATACTCAACATCACTAATCATTAGGAAAATGCAAATCAAAACCACGATTAGATATCATCTAACACCTGAATGATTAGCATCAAAAAGACAAATAAAAAAATGCTGGAAAGAACATGGAGAAAAGAGAACCCTTGTGCACTAGAGGAATATAAATTGGTGCAGCCACTATAGAAGACAACATGGAGGATCCACCAAAAATTCAAAATAAAACTACCATATAATGCAACAGTTCCATTTCTGGGATATATCTGAAGGGAATGAAAACACTATGTTGAAGAGAGATCTGTACCTCTATGTTCATAGAAGCATTATTTACAATAGCCAAGACATGGAAACAACCTAAGTGTTCAAACACAAATGAATGGATAAAGAAGTTGTGACATATATATATTGATATATATTGAAATATTATTTAGCTACAAAAAAGAGGGAATCTTGCAGTATGTAAACAACATGAATGGACTTTGGGGGGCATTAAGCTAAGTTAAATAATTCAGAGAAGAACAAGGATAATTAACAAGTTAGGAAAGAAAAAATAATCTAAAAAACAAAATAAAACAAGCTCATGCAAATTGAGATCAAATTTGTGGTTTCTCAGGGGGTTAGGGAAGGGGGAATTGAAAGGAGGTGGCCAAAAGGCACATATTTTCAGCTATAGGACAAAGAAGTACTAGTATGTAATGTACAACATGATCACTATGGTTAACATTGCTATGTGGTATATATTAAAGTTTTTAAAATCATAAATCCTGAGTTCTCATCACAAGTAAAATTCATTTTCTTTTTCTTTTTTTAGTATCTATATGGTTAGATAATCTTAACAGTCAATTCATGATATATGTAAGTAAAATCATGCTGTACACTCTGAATTTATATAGTGCTATAGATCAACTATATCTCAATAAAACTAAAATAATATAGCAAGTCTCCACCAATTTCAGAATAATTAGAACAGTAAGAATAATTTCAGAATAATGAAAATGATAGAACTTTAAAAGTTAAAGTCTACTGTTCTCAAGCTTTAGTGTGTTTCAGAATCACCTGGAGATTCTGTTTCTTGGTCCAATCCCAAGAAATTATTATTTAGTAGATATGAGTAAGTCCTAAATACACATTTCTAATAGGTTCCCAGATGACACTGATGCTGGTGGCTAAAGGATCACATTTCAAAACCAATGACCAGAAAAACAAAAAAGCTATTCATAAAATTAGGCATACTGTCTGATAGTTTTCACTTCATTAATGACACTCTCATTTTTCCAAGTAGAGTAAATTCCTTGATGCTTTTATATATCCATGAACAATATTCTATAGTTAGAGGGAATATAAACACTATGCAGAATTTTTTCATAAAATTACTTATGAGCCAGGTAATTCTGATAGGTTTACCTTTAGAGAGACAACATACAGTCATTTTCCTATATTATATGCTATGCATTTTATTGTTTCTGTATTTGATTAATATGCCCATTGTGACATCCATATTTCCTAAGGTGGCTTTTCAGCCTGCCACCGCTCAAAATTGATTAATGGGAAAAAAATCTGAAAACATTATATGTATATACAAATTTATAAAAACTGCTACAAACCTATGGGAACGATTAAAAGGTAAGTTAGGAATAGTAGTGGTTGAAGTTATTCAGACATTAAAATACATATTTTAGTGGGAAATGATGATAAGTTAAGATGTTTTAATTCTAAACAAAATATTGATATCTATATTCTTTTTTTTTCAGTTGAATTCACTTACTATATCTTTAAATAATGATACTTAAAAAGTAAGGCTTCCTGTTATATTCCATACATATATTTGTTAATAGACAAAACAGTTAAAAGGTAGCCAGTACTATCTGCATGCTTAATTTTATCTAAATCTTCCCTAATAACAAATAGAATTCCTTGTGAGAAGCCACTCACAAAGAAGCAGTGGCTGAGAATGCAGATTCAAACCATGGTTCATTTTAGACTACGTATTTTCTTTTACTTAGGATACTTAAACAAAAATTTGGATGAAATCCAAATTCAATTTTAGAATCCATAAATGTGCAAAATTTAGCCTGAGCTAGTCATCAACCATACATATGTAACAAGTTCTGGTATTTTATACTAAAATTGTTGAATCCTTCATAATAGTTTGAATTAAAATGACTATCATATGAAAACTCATCCTCATTAAATTCTGAAGAAAACTGTTTAACACTTACTAAAGGTCAGTATAACAATTTAAAAAAAATGACTCAAAGTTTTATTTAAGTGAACATTCTGAAGTTTTCTAGGACAAGGATCAGTACTCCATTGCATTTTTAAATATGATATAAACTCTTTTAGAATTATTTAATACTTTGACACGTCTGAATAAGTCTTTAAAGTCTTTAAAGCTAACATAATTACAGTGCTGTTGGGGTTCTAAGCAACTAAAATAATCAAACAGTTGCAAAATAAGCCTTTTAGGAGATGTTGAAAAAAATCAGTTAACTGATAGGTAATGTTAGGTATATGCGGAGACATTAAATAAGCTCTTGGAAGCAGTCATGGAAAGATCATGGATTTCAAATCTCATAAGATTGGAAGGGAATCCTGACTCTACTACTTATTGGCTCCATAATTTAGGGTGTTTACTTAATGCCCTTGAATCTCTAAAATGGAAATGATAACAGTTTACTTATATGATCAGACCTTAATTGACTTAGCACAGTCTAACAGTGGATACTGACTTATTTTCCTTGAGAATGCATTTTAATTACTCATTATAAAATTTCATATTGTGGATCATGATTTAAATAGTTTTAATAAAAAGAAACAAAACTACTTTTTCACCGAGCCTTCAGTCTCACCTATAAGATGTAGGATTTGAATTAGATGATTCTTCAGGGAACTTATTTATTATTCTATTATATTCCAGATAGCTGCTGTAAGAAATTCTCAATTTAAATGATATTAAGATTCTGTAACAGATAGATTAATGTTAGCTAAGAAAGTTCTAAAGGCTGTGGTTCTCAAACCTAGCTGTATATTAGAATCAGCTGAGTGCCTTTAAACACTACTGACTCCAAAACCCCAATCAGAAATTTTGTGGCATACAGCCTGAGTATCAACAATCCTTTAAAGTAATGTGATGATTCCAGCTGTAGCCAGGTTATGAACCACCACCTTAAAGTAAAATTGTAAGAAATTCAGAGTAAAATCATAAGAAATTCAGATGTAGGGGAAGTTAAAAGCACAATCAACAAGAATCCTGTTTCATTTCCCAAACTAAAGATTCTCTGACACAAGTGAGCCTCACAAAAACTTTTATCAATTTCTTCATCCAAAATCTTTTCTCTTATTTCCATCTGTCTGGAACAAACTCAGCTTGCTCATAATAGAATTCATTTTTTTTTTGCATTAATACCTCTCCTTTAGCATGATTTTCATGTTAAGAAAACCTCTATTTCTAATTTCCCAATATCAAAATCAAACATGAAATAAAAGACTTTGTTTTATATTACACATCTTCACATATACACACATACACATACATGCACACACACTCAATCTGCTAATTTCTATTTCACCTTTAAAAGTCACTTACTCAGGAAAGCCCCACTCTGACCTCAAGCTGAGGTTGGATGGAGGAGGTAGATGGGCCAAGATGTTAGGAAAATCCTGAACTCATCTTCTCCCACAGACACACCAAATCTACCGCTACATATGGAACAATTCCTTCTGAAAAAGAACCAAAAACTACCAGAACACCTCCCTAACAAGAAACAATAAGAGGGCCATATCATGGTGGGTAGGAGAGGCTTAGATATGGTCTCATCAAAAACTCTACCCTTGGCATAGTAACCTATAATTAGGTTGGATGTTAGTAACCTATAATTAGGTTGGATGTTACAAATCTAGGAGTTTTTCTCTGAAGAGTAAAGGGTTCATAACCCATAACAAGCACCTCAAACCCTAAGACATGCAATGGAGAGATAAACCTCCAAGACTTCTAGCTTTAAAACCAACGAAGCTTATATCCAGGAAACCCAAACAGCTATATAGAACTGAGATACATGCTAAAAGGGCTTGCACACAGACTCACACATCCTAGGCCCCAGCATAAAAGCAGACGTTTGAAAAGTGTCTGGACTATAGGTGAAGGAGACCCAATTTCTAACCTTAAAGTATCTTCCAGAATGGCAGGGGTGTTTTGAGAGTCTCCCTGGTGCTGGCAGGTGTCATTTCTGCACTTTCCCTCTACTTTGACAATACTGGCAGGCACGCACAGTCTCCGTGCTTTCCCATTACCTTGCTAAACCTGGCAGTTACATGCATTCCACTCCTTAATTGGCTCTGGTAGTTAGGGAACTTGGTGTCCCTGGGTTTTACAGGACTATAACAATCAGAGAGACAGTTCTTGGCAGACTACTACCTCCAGGGCACTGCACAGATAGCACACTAAAACACAACCCCAGTCTTTCTCTGAAAGAGGCCTATTTACTTGTACTGGAATTGAAGACTGAAAGGCAGGCTTCAGTCTTATTATACATCCAGAGGCTACAAAAGTGTTCTCAGGAAATGTAGATAGAGAGACACCATCTTTGTGCTCTCCTTTATCCTCACTAAAACTCAACAATACCTCCAACAAAGGAACTTATACTAAAACTGTGGGGTGCTGATTTTTGCAACTGTCATTCAGGGGACAGCTCCAGATCTCTTGGTCTGAAGGCCAGTTAGGTTTATGATTGTAGTCTTACATGCCAGTATATATTTGCATACTTACAAATAAACAAATATTTGTAAAGCTGCCTGAGAGTCTGGCTTCAAATCAACTTGTACCTAGGTGCTGACAGAGATCCTTCCCTTTGGAACACTGACAGGTCTTGACACTCTCTCAACCACTGGAGTCTATTTAGAACAAATCAGGTTGTGTAAAAAAAAATCACAAAGTTTCAAGAGACACTGAGAATTAAGTTAAGTTAGAACAAATCAGGTTGCTTAAAAAAAAATCACAGTTTCAAGAGACAACTGAGAACTAAGTTAAAGTTAAATGATAAATTTCACCTATACAAGACCACTCATTTAAGATTGGGAGAGGTAGCTGTTTTGCCAAAAACACAGAAATGAATACAAAGAGTCAAGTAAAATGATGAAACAGAGGAATATGTTCCAATTTTAAGACTAAGATAAAACCTTAGGGGGAAAAGTTAATGAAATGTAATAGGTAACTTACTTAATAAAGAGTTCAAAGTACTGGTCATTAAGATGTTCAAAGAACCTAGAAGAAGGGCTAAACACAATGAGAACTTCAAGACAGAGATAGAAAATATAAGGAAACCCAAACAGAAATCACAGGGCTGAAAAATACAATGCCTAAATGGAAAACAAAACAAAACAAAATCAAAACAAACAAACACACACACACACACACACACACACACAAAACACTAAAGAGATACAACAGCAGACTAGAAGAAATAAAAGAAAGGATCAGGGACCTGGAAGACAGGGCAAAAGAAGTCAACCAAAAAAAGAAGCCAAAGAATTATAAAAAGTGAAGATGGCTTACCAGACTGACAGCACATTATCAAGTGAATTAACATTTGTATTACAGGAGTCTCAGAAGAAGAAGAGAAAGATAAAGGTGTAGAAAAATTATTTGAAGAAATAATACCTGAAAACCTCCCTTAGAAAGGAAAAAGATATCCAGATTGAGGAAGCTCTGAGAATTCTAGATAGAATGAACCCAAAGGATTCTACACCAAGATACCTTATAATTAAAGTATTAAAGGATAAATGTAAAGGAGAATCTTTTTTTAATTAATTAATTAATTTGACAGAGAGAGAGCGAGAGAGAGAGAGAGAGAGAGCACAAGCAGGGGGAGTGACAGAGGGGCAGGGAGAAGCAGGCTTCTGCTGAGCAGAAAGCTAGATGTGGGGCTCCATCCCAGAGCCCTGGGATTATGACCTAGGCCTGAGTGACTCATTTGGTTAAGTGTGTCCAACTCTTGGTTTTGACTCAGGTCAGGATCTCAGTTTCCTGGGATCCAGCCTTATATCAGGTTCTGTGCTCAGGATAAAGACTGCTTAATACTATTTCTCCCTCTCCCTCTGCTCCTTCCCCCATTGAAATAAATAAATAAATCTTTAAAATACAATATTAATGTAAAAAATGTAGAATATGTTCAAACTTCAGTTTTTATCAATTTACAATAGACTGATACATACAGAGCTGTTGTACGCCTCAAGGTAACCACAAAGCAAAAATCCATAGTGGGATATACAAAAAGTAATGAGAAATGAACCTTAGTATAGGCTGGCAAATACACAAATTAGAAGAAATAGACACATTCCTATGAACATACAATTTTACAAGACTGAATTATGAAGAAATAGAAAATATGAATTGACCAGTTACTAGTAAGGAGATTGAATTGTATTCTCTCAACAAACAAAAGTCCAAGACCAGAGGGCTTCACTCATGAAACCTACCAAACATTGAAAGAAAATTTACTAATACCTATTCTTTTCAAACACTTCCAAGGAACAGAATAGATGGTAACTCTTTCAAAACAATTTTATGAAACTAGCATTATTCTAACACCAAACCAAGACAAGGATACCACAAGAAAAGGAAATTACAGGCCAATATCTCTGATGAACACAGAAGCAAAATCCTCAATAAATATTAGCAAATTGAATTAAAAACAATGTTAAAAGTATCAAAAACTATGATCAAGTGGGATTATTCTCTGGAAGACAAGAATATTAAAAATATTCACAAATCAGTCAACGTGATACACTATAATAACAAAAATCATATGATCAGTTCAATAAATCAGAAAAAGAATTTGACAAAATCTAACATTTATAAAACATTTCAGTAAAGTGGATAGAAAGCGATCATACTTCAACACAATAAAGGCCATATATGATAGGTCAAAGATAATGTCATACTCAAGAGTAAAAGCTGAAAGCTTTGACTCTAAGATCAGGAACAAAACAAGGATGCCAACTCTCACCACTTTTACTCAACTTAGTACTAGAAGTGCTAGATACAGAAATTGGGCAATAAAAAGGAAAGAAAAGTCATCCAAGTTAGAAAGGAAAAAAGTAAAATGTCATTATTTATGGATGACACTATTTAATATACAAAAATTCCTAGAGATGCTACTCAAAACTGTTGGAAATAATAATGCCTTCAGAAAAGTTGCAGGATGCTAAATCAATACATAAATATTTGCTGCATTCCTATTCACTAACAATGAGCTATCAGAAAGAAAAATTAAGGGGCACCTGGGTGGTTCAGTTGGCTAAGTGTCTGTCTTATGCTCAGGTCCTGATTTTGGGGTCCTGGGATCAATACCTATGTTGGGCTCTCTGCTCAGAGGGGAGTCTGCTCCTCCCTCTGCCTCTCTCCCCTGCTCATACTCGCTCGCTCCCTCAAATAAGTAAATTTAAAACAATCTTTAAAAATGATTTTTTTTTAAAAAAAGAGAAATTATGAAAAACACCAAATTGAAGTGCCTGGGTGGCTTGCTTGGTTAAGAATCTGACTATTTTGGTTCTGGTCATGATTTCAGGGTTCTGGGATCAAGCCCCACATTGGGCTCAATGCTCATTGAGGAATCTGCTTCAGATTCTCTCTCTCTCTCCCTCTCCTTCTGGCCCTCCCTGCTAAAATAAGTAAATACATTAAAAAAAAAAAAAAAGAAAACCATCAAATTCACACACAATTGCATAAAAATAATTAAATATTTAGGAACAAATTTAACTAAAGAGGTGAAAGAACTATACACCAAAGCTATATGACATTAAAGAAAGAAAGAAAAACACAAATAAATGGAAAAATATTTCATGCTCATGAGTGGAAAAATTAATATTGTTAAAATGTCCTTAGTACCCAAATACATTTACAGATTCAATATAATCCCTACCAAATTCCAATGGCAGTTTTAACAGAAATAAAAAATAATTGTAAAATTTGTATGGAACCATAAAAGTTTTCAAATAGTCAAAATAATCTTGAGAAACAGGAACAAAGCCAGAGGCATCACACTACCTGATTTCAAACTATCTTACAAAGCTATAGTAATTAAAACAGTATGGTATTGGCATAAAAATAGACACATTGATCAATGGAATACAATGGAATAGAGGAGAGAGTCCAGAAACAAACCCACATATGTATGGTCAATTAATTTATGACAAAGGAGCCAAGAATATAAAATGGAGAAAGAAGTCTCTTCATTTTTTTTAAAGAGAGAAACAGAGGTGGGAGAGGCAGAGGGAGAAGGAGGAAGAGAAAATTTAGCAGACTCCATACTGAGTGCAGAGCCTGACACAAGATTAGCAATTCCACTTCTGTGTATGTATCTGAAAAAAATGAAAATACTAACTTGAAAAGATATATGCACCCATATATTCATTGTAGCATTATTTACAATGGCTAAGATATGGAAATAACCTAAGTGTCCTTTGAAGGATGAATAGAGAAAATGTGGCATATCAATATCAATATATGTGTGTGTGTGTGTGTGTGTGTGTGTATAACTCAAACATTAAGAAAATGAAAGCTTGCCACGCTAAGTGAAATGAGTTAGATAAAGACAAATACTGTATGATCTCACTTAGGTGAGGAATATAGAAAACAAAACAGAACAAAAACAAAACTGAGAGATACAGGATGTCTGGGTGGCTCAGTGGTTGAGTGTCTGTCTTTGTCTCCAGGCGTGATCCTGGGGTTCTGGGATCCAGTCATGTGTCAGGCTCCGTACAAGGAGTCTGCTTCTCTCTCTGCCTGTGTCTCTACCTTTCCCTGTGTCTCTCATGAGTAGGTAAATAAAATCTTAAAAAACAAACAAGCAAACCAAACAAAACAACCGGAGATCCAGAATATAGATTGGTGGATTTCAGAAGGGAAGAAGGTTGGGACATCAACTAAAATGGTGAAGAGGGTCAAGAAATACAAACTTTCAGTTTTAAAAATAAAAATGTCATGAGGATGTAATGTAAAGCATGGTAAGTATGGTTAATAGTATTGTACTGAAGAATTTGAAAGTTCCTAAGAAAGTAAATCTTAATAGTTCTCACCACATGAAAGATATATTTATAACTTGATATGGTGACAAATGGTAACTAGGCTTAATATGGTAATCATTATGCAGTATATATAGATTTCAAATCACCTGAAACTAATATGCTATCTGTCAATTATACCTCAATAATTTTTTTTCCATTTAAAAAGATCTGAATAAAAGAAAATAAGGGGGAAAAAGATTAGGTTAGATACTG